GTGAGTATCCGCAGACACTTGACATAACTGATTCTTTGTAGACGACACAATCGTGATTAATGATTCGTCTTGATTACAGGTTCGCGTTCCAAAGATCAATATTTAAAAATTTACTAAATACTTTGAATTCATCGAACATCCTCATCGGAAGAGCCAAAGAGAACTGAGTCTGCGTTTTCGAGGTGAATGACCAGCATCATAATTTCGCTCTTATTTTAACCGAAACTCGATTCCTGTACATAAATCTGACCGCAAGGCTAACCGCGCAAAGCTTCCTGCCATGGGAATGCATGAGACCGGCAGCTACGGAGACAAGCAGCTGCCATGCACTCATCTATGCGCGTGTACCATGCGGTTTTTGCCTTTCCCTCGGTGGTCATCCGTGAAGGTGTTAATGTCAGTCAGTGAAAACTTGCAGCGTGTTCTCTGCATCGTATTTGCATGTATTGAACAACGACGGGTTTGCTCTTGAAAGATGCATTTATCCCTTTTAACAATCCTGATGAACACGTGCGTTAGATCTGCCAGTCACAGAATATAACTAAAGTTGATTTAAATATCTCTCTATCAAGGATTACAGAAAATGAAATATATCCAGAGACTGTCGCTCGGGGTAACACATTCCTAGAAATTATTGTTATTTTTTCCTGGCGGAATCTCGGACTTCTTATCTCTGCTTTTCCTCTTCCCATCCGCATTCTTCATTCATTTCCCCGTCTCCTTGTCCCCTTCCCATTCCAATCCTCCCGTCTCCATTGCCTCCCCATGGCAAAGGGACTCGCCCTCGCCATTCGGGGACTCGATACGCCCCGTGGCAGCCCCTCCCGCCGGGGCGAGGGCGGGGTCATCGCCGACCTTCGCCTCGCCGGGTCGCTGGCGCCGCGCTCGGCCGCCCGAAAGACGAATCCGTGAGATAAAGTAGGAGGGAGAGAAAGAGAGAGAGAAAGAGAGACAGAGAGGGGGGTAGAGTAAGGGGGAAGCATATATATATATATATATATATATATATATATATATATATATATATATATATATATATATATATATATATATATATATATATATATATATATATATATATATAATATATATATATATATATATATATATATATATATATATATATATATATATATATATATATATATATATATATATAATATATATATGTATATATATATATATATATATATTATATATATATATATATGTATATATGTGTGTGTGTGTGTGTGTGTATGTATGTATGTATGTATGTGTGTGTGTGTGTGTGTTTCGTCCTATCTTTTTTCCGTACTGAAGTATTGGGATTTATTTTATGAGAGGAAAATAGGAAAGAAAAAACATGAAGAAAAGAAAGAATCACGAGAGAAATTTCAAGATAAAGAAGGCGCTTCGCGGGGAACTTCCTAACTGGGAACGCGACGTCACAAACAAGCGAAGCCAAAAAGCATAAACTGTGTTAGTGGTGCTTGAAGTTCATGACAATTCACCCCCGCTTGTGCAAAGCCGCCTCTGCCAGTCATCGGCTCTTCGGCGACTCATTCTTGGGAAATTTCCTGACACTACCTCTCCATTTTTTGTTGTTTTTTATGGGTAAATATCACGGAGCAAAAAAAAAAAAAATGATCATGGGAAGTCTAAACCAAATGATGCTGCATCTTGTAAGAAGCACAAAAGCCACGATAGACGAAGCATATGACAACGATGTGGAAGTAACGGTACTTGCGACGGATATAATATTGATAAAGACGAGAACAATGGTTATACCGGCAATGATAGCAAGAGTCATAACAAAGTAGTAGTACTATTGATTCGAGGATTCATTTTACTTTTATGCATCCACACCGAATCACACACACCAGGCGGGAATCCAACGTGACTGGAAATTGACAGTAATAGAGTCCAATAAAAGCCAATTCCCAGTGACCGAATTTTTCAAAACGATCGAATTCAGTAACCGCAGATTCCAAACAACCGAAGCCAGTGACCGCAGATTCCCCAGTGACCGATTCCGTTAACCAATAGATTCCCGGGTGATGGCCTTCCCGAAGCCACTCCTGGACCGACCCCCTGGAGTACCCCAAGGGACTTTCTCCAGGAGGTCGAAGGCAGTCCCAGAGAGCCGGAGTTTCGCTGCGCTATTGCTCTCGCCGAGGCATTGCGGGAGGCGGTGTTTTCCTTCTTCTTTTCTTGAGACGATCTTTGTTCCTTTTTTTAGAAGGGGGGGCGGGGTTGGTTTTGGGTTCTTTTCAAGGAGAATTTTGCTCCTCTTGGATAAGCTTGTGTTCTGGTGGATAAGTTGCTATACTGCTGTGGTTTCATGTTTCGTCGAACGAAAAGTATGCAGCAAAAGTATAAATGAATTTGATAAAAATGATAATGAGGATTATAATGATAATAATGATAATGGTAACAATAAAAATAAAGATAATAGTAATAGTAATAATAATAGTAATAATAATGATTGTAATAGCAATGATAAGAATGATAAAAATAA